TACTTTGGGCTTTCTTCTTCCTTTTCTAGTTCCTTTATCTGAAAGGTTAGATTGAGATTTTTCTTATTTCTTGAGGTCATCAGTATCACTCTTAACTTCCCTTTTGCTTTTGCTGTGTCCCGTAGTCTTTGAACTGTTGTTTTCATTGCTCCGTGTCTTTTTTTGGAGTCCTCTTTGATTTTTTCTTTTTATTGACCTTGCTTAGTAGCATGTTTTAGCCTCCACGTGTTTGTGTTTTTTCCAGTTTTCTTCTTGTAGTTGATTGCTAGTTACATACTCTGGTGGTTAGAAAAGATGCTTGAAATGATTTCAATCTTAAATTTATTGTGGACTAACGTGATTTATCCTGGAGACTGTTCCATGTGCATTTGAGAACAGTGTGTGTTCTATTGTTTTTGGATGGATTTAAGTCCATCTGGTCTAATGTGTCTTTCAAGGCCAATGTTTCCTTAATAATTTTATGTCTGGATCTATCTTTTGGTGTAAGTGGGGTGTTCAAGTTCCCTGTTACTCTATTACTGTCAGTTTCTCCCTTTGGGTCTGTTAATATTTGCTTTATGTATTTAGGTATTATGTATTTAGGTTTATGTATTTATTTATGCTCCTATGTTGGCTGCATAAATGTTTCCAGGTGTTTTCTTCTTGTTGGATTGATCCTTTATCATTGTGTAACGCCCTCCTTTGTCTCTTATTACTGCTTTTGTTTTACAGTGTATTTCTCCTGATGTAAGTATTGCTACCGCAGCTTTTATTCTGTTCTGTTTGCGTGGAATATCTTTTTCCATTTCTCCGCTTTTAGTCCGTGTGTCTTTAGGTTGGGAGTAAGTTTGTCGTAGGGAACATGTATGTAGGTCCTTTTTTTTTTTAATCCACTCAGCCACCCTACCTGTTTTGATTGGAGCATTTAGTCTGTTTACATTTAAAGTAATTATCGGTTGGTGTGTATTTATTGCCATTTAAAAAATTGTTTTCTTGTTGTTTTGCAGTTCTTGTTCCTTCTATTGCTCTCTTCCCTTGTGATTCACTTTCTTTAATGTTATCATTGGATTCCTTTCTGTTTGTGTCTGTTACAGATTTTTGATTTGTGGTTACCGTGAGCTTCCTATATGATTGCATGTATATAGCTCTCTGTTTTAGGTTGGTGGTGATTTAAGTTTGAATGCATTCTAAAAGCAAGTGCATTTTTATTCACTTTATCACCCCCACGCACACACGTTTTTATGTTTTTGACATCTGTTTTATACCTTATTTAATGAGTCCCTTAACTAATTATAGTAGATTTTGTCGACTTCGTTCTTTTAACCCTCATACTAGCTTTATCCGTGGTTGGTCCACTCCTTTTCTGTGTTTTTCCTTGCTGGCAAGATTTTTTCTTTCATGTGTTTTCTTCTAGTTTTGGTCTTTTCTTTTCCACTTTAATGCTTGTAACTGGTTTAGTGCTGATGAGCTCCTTTAGCTTTTGTTTTGTCTGGGACACTCTCTTATCTCTCCTTCAATTCAGAATGATAGCCTTGCTGGGTATTTATTGATTTGTTTCAGCACTTTGAATATATCATGCCGCTCCTGGCCTGCAGACCTTTTGCTTAGAATCCACCTGATTCTGGAAAAGTGCAAATACTAGAATAAAACAGAACAAGCATCCCATACTGTTCAGTAACTGAACACAGCTACTCTTGTTTGGCAGAGGATTCATTAACTGGATTGGATCATCTTTGTAACAACATCTAATTTTTAGGGTTCAGGATTCAATAACTGAACACATCTCTTTGGCAGAGGATTCACTGTAACATTACCACCAGAGGCCTAGCCTTCCCCCTTTTCATAACTGGCATCTTGCTGTGATGTGGATGGAATTGCATTAAACCTGTATAGCGATTTGCGAAGAATTGACACCTTTCGTGTTCCAGGTCTTCATGCGGCAGGTGACATCTGCCCCGGTTGAGCCTCCTCCTCTGTGGCGGCTCCACAGAGGGCTGGCCTCGGAAGGTCATGGGGCGTCCTGCTGAGGCCCCACGGCCGCTCCCCTGCTTGCTTTGGGAGGAATGGGAGAGAGCCAGCCTTCTCCCTCTTCTCCCCGCCCCACCCCCGCCAGGGGTTTCTGCCCTTGGCATGGGGACCCAGGGACTTGCCGGCATGCTTTGTGCAGACATGAGCACCAGCCAGAGCATTTATCTTAAAAGGCCAGAGTCTTTCTGGCATTTAGGAGAGATCATGTCAATGACCAGGGCCTTAGTTGGTCCTAAACAGAGTACCAGGCAAATAAAACATGTTCTTCATTTCCTTCCAGATACCATAATTGATATTATTTATTAGGACTCTAGTATTGTTAGTGTGAATAGGGTTGTGATGTTAGAAGACCTAACAAGACCTTAGGGGGAAAATAGATGATCACATTTTTGCACTGTCTTCCTCACGGTGGTGGTCAGAAAAACACACTTCCAGGCAGGAGTTTTGCACTTTTCTAAAATTTGTACCACGTGGTCTGTGGTCAACTCTCCTAGGGTTTTTTTGGTCCCCCTCCTCCTTAGTGACACTTCTCCAGTCTGTGTTTCTACTCCAGAAACTGAGAATGAAATGTGCTGAAATTATGAAAACTTGTCCGTGATCACTGTCCTACTGCATCCTGCACTTGGTTCAGTCGCTGAAGAAAGAGTAGCTGTGTTCAGTTATTGAACAGTATGGGATGCTTGTTCTGTTTTATTCTAGTATTTGACTATTTCACACTGGTCTTTCTATGGAACTCATGTATGTTGGAAAAGTGTTTTCATTTCTGAAATTGCCAAACTGTTTCCCATATTGCTCCTCCCAGTTGCCGCTGCAGTTCGGTGATGGCAGACTTTACACTGCTGTTGATAGAACGTGGTCATTTTGATGGTGAAAATAAAATTGATTTAGGGGTGCCTGGGTGGCTCAGTCGGTTAGGCCTAGACACCTTCGGCTCAGATCATGATCCTGGGGTCCTGGGATCGAGCCTCACATCTGACTCTCTGCTCGGCAGGGAGCCTGCTTCTCCCTCTCCCTCTCCCGCTCCCCCTGCTTGTGCGCTCTCGCTCTCTGACAAATAAAATCTTAAAAAAAAAATAAAATAAAATTGATTTATATAATTAATAACATCCCAATGTTATTTTATAGTTGAGGTTATATAGTTTTCATCTAAACCAGAGTGCAAAGATCTGTACAGAAATGATATAAAATAAAACCACCTTAAAAATTAGATGTTGTTACAAAGGTGAGGAAAGAGATTTACCAAAAAAACCCCCACAAAAACCCAGCTGATAATCCTGTGGGGATTTCCTTATATGTAACTAGTTGTTTTTCTCTTGCTGCTTTTAAGATTCACTTTATCTTTAATTTTTGACAGTTTAACTATAATATGTCTTGGTATGGATCTTTGGGTTAAATTTGTTTGGGGCTTTTTTTGATTCCTGGACCTGATGTCTGTTTTCTTCCCCGTGTTAAGGAAGTTCTCAGCTATTTCTTTTTTGTTTTGTTTTAAAATAAAAATTATTGGGACGCCTGGGTGGCTCAGTTGGTTAAGCGACTGCCTTCGGCTCAGGTCATGATCCTAGAGTCCTGGGATCGAGTCCCACATCGGGCTCCCTGCTGAGCAGGGAGTCTGCTTCTCCCTCTGACCCTCCCCCCTCTCATGCTCTCTCTATCTCATTCTCTCTCTCAAATAAATAAATAAAATCTTTAAAAAATAAAATAAAATAAAAATTATTTTTAAAAAGCTCTATTCCTTTTTTTTTTTTTTAATTTCAGGGGTAAAATTTAGTGATTCATCAGGTGCATATAACACCCAGTGCTCATCACAAGTGCCCTCCTTAATGCCTGTCACCCAATTACCCCATCCCCCCCACCCACATCCCCTCCAGCAACCCTGTTTGTTTCCTAGAGTTTGGTGTCTCTTATGGTTCTCCCTGTTCTCGTCGTATTTTATTTTTCCTTTCCCCTATGTTCATCTGTTTTGTTTCTTAAATTCCACATATGAGTGAAATCATATGGTATTTGTCTTTCTCTGACTGACTGCGCTTAGCATAATACCCTCTAGTTCCATCCATACCATTGCAGATGGCAAGATTTAATTCTTTTGATGGCTGAGTAGTATTTCGCTGTATGTGTGTATGTATATATATATATATACACACCACATCTTCTTTATCCATTCATCTGTCAGTGGACATCTGGGCTCTTTCCACAGTTTGGCTATTGCAGTCGTTGTAATTATTTCTTCATACAAGTTTTCTTATTATGCTTTGTTGCCCCAGAGGGGCAACAAATAATAACTGTCCTCATCCAAAAAATTTTTTTCTTTTGATGTTGATTTTGGGTGATTTCTACCCTTTCAGATGGCTGATCTCTTCTTCTGTATCATCTAATCTGTTTATTCCCTATAGTGTATTTTTTGTTTGTTGTATTCTTCTGCTTTGCTTGGTACTTTCTTATTGTAGAGAGATTTTTGTCTCTTTGTTGAAGACTTACGTTCATCCATTCTTCTCCCAAGTTTGGTGAGCATCTTTATGACCATTACTTTGAACTGTTTATGGGGTAGATTGCTCATCTTTGTTTTATTTAATTGTTTTTCTGAGGATCTGTCTTGTTCTTTCATTTAGAATGTGTTCTTCTGTCTCCTTATTTTGACTGTCTTTATTTGTCTGTTAGGGAGTTCACCTTCGTCTCCTGGTCTTGACGGAGTGGCCTTATGTAGGAGATGTCCTGTGGGGCTCAGAGGTGCAGTCCTCCGTAATCCCCTTTGTGGCCTGCAGGGACCCTCTTTGTGGCCGGGCCGTGACTGCTGTGGGTGGGAGTGGCCTCTGGCCCAGCTGAGACCTAATACTTGTTTTAAAAAAATTTGAGGCTCTGTTGAATAGCAAACATAGTATGTAAATTTTAAGTGTTACAAAGTTGTTCAGAAAGGAGGATAGGATCTTGGGATTATATTCATTGGATATTACTAAAGAGACTTAAATATTAAATGATCCCTTTCCTTCCCGTAATAGGCTCATCTGTCACTGGAATTGCAAAGGGATAGCCACATGAAACAGCTGCTCCTCATCCAGGAGAGGTGGAAAAGGGCCAAGCGGGAGGAGAGACTGAAAGCCCAGCAGAGCACAGACAGGGAGGCGGCCGCCCAGCTGCAGGCATCTCCCAGGCCCTCTTCTGAGGACGCCGAGGGCCAGAGTCCCCTTCTCTCTGAGAAATACGGCCCTTCCGCGGAGAAGCGTCTGCCTGAAATTCAGGGGGTCTTTGACAGGGACCCAGACACACTCCTGTTTTTACTTGAGCAGAAGCGTGAGCCGGCAGAGCCGCGCGTCGGAAGCAGAGCGCCCAAAGATGATAAGACAGTCATAGAGGAGCAGGCGACCAAGATCGCCGATTTGAAGAGGCATGTGGAGTTCCTCGTGGCTGAGAATGAAAGATTAAGGAAGGAAAATAAACAGCTGAAGGCCGAGAAGGCCAGACTTCTAAAGGGCGCAGTAGAGAAGGAGCTGGGTGTGGATGCTGACTTCGTAGAAAAGTCGGAGCTGTGGAGCTTGCCGCCGCCTCCCGAGACCGCCGAGGCCTCGTCCGGCTGGCAGAGCCTGGCCGCGAGCGCGGGGAGAGCCAAGGACATCCCCATACCCAGTCTCCCGCCCCTGGATTTCCCGTCCCCGGAGCTTCCCCTTATGGAGCTCTCGGAGGATCTTCTGAAAGGGTTTATGAATAATTGAAACGGAAGGCCATACAAGAGCTGAGGAGACAAGACAAAATAATAGAGTAATACAGTTCATCCAGAAAAAAAAGGGAAAACCACACGGGGGGCGATAGCAGAGACGGGCCGGGGAGGGGGGCCCGCGCGGGGCCGGGAAACGCTCACTGTGACGCGTCCCGTGTGCGGCGGAGCCCGGGCGCTGAGGACTCCAGACGGGCCAGACACCAGGCTCCCGGGGGCTCCCTCTCTCCTGATACAAACCAAATGGCTACCTGGAATAACGTTTTCAAGCAACAGTTATTTTTCTTATCTTCAGGGTTAAAATGTATAAAAGTCTGTTATGTATAATTAATCTATAATGCCATAAATGATAATGCAAAGCCTAAATAATATGGCGGCCTGAGGGGCCACCTTGTATTTGAAACATGCTTTCTATCATGCATTGACTCTATGCATTTTGTTATGCACATTTCGTTTGTTGAGTAAGGTGTGTAAGACACACCTTTCTAGCTGAAACTCTGTGCGCCACACTTTGCACTACTCATGACATAATGAGAACCTCAAGACTATCAGGAGAAATATTTAAATTTCCATTTTATGAAGAAAGGAACCAAATTGTTATTTTTTTTTTAAATTACCAGTTTACATAATTAATCAGGGTGCATTTTAAGTTCTGTTTTATTGTTTAAATGTATCATTTGAAAGTACTAAGGAAATATCCTTTTCTTTACTGATGCATGAGTGGAAGTGATGGTAGTTGGCAGTGTTTGATTGTAAGAAGTCAATAAAGTAATTGTGTTTTATACCTTTGTTGAATGTGGTTGGCAGTTGACAAGCAGGTTTTGGGTGGCTCCTCTGTTGTCAGTCCTGAATATGCCCTTGAAGAGATTCAGCCAGGTGATTCCTTGCGTTTGTTAAAGACCTGTGTCCGTTTCCCCTGTGACGGGGGGGGGGGGGTGGGGGGTGAAGGACAATGAGGGAGCCCCTGAGGTTTCAGTGTGCCCCCTCTTGCCCAGCCGCACGGACAGTGCGCAGGCAGGGGGCGGCTGTACCCCGGGCCGCCCCCGCGCCCCCTGCTCCGCCGAGTCCCTGGATGTTCCATCCCGGAGCCGGAAGGGAGGGAGGAAGAGGACAACGTGAGCGCAATGCGTGGCTACAGGCCACTGGGTGTGTTTAAAGCCTAGACTTTGTTCACTGTGTGGAACTGTGGGAGGGCCACACGGACGGACGGACCCCACACTGCCTCCGAGACTGACCTCAGGGACAGTGGGGCCGAGGGGTAGGACTGCGCTCACACGTTTGGCGACGAAACTGGCAGAAGGAGGATGAGATGGAAGTGAGCTTGCGGAGGCCACGTTTTTTCATGTCTCATCTTGCTGCGGGTGAAACCAAAAATAAACTAGCTTCTTAAAAGACTTCTTCCAATTCTGTTAAAGTTATGTCAGTTTGTCCGTCTCAGTGTTGTAATATCCCAGATTCAGAATATTTTGCTTGCCTAACCTTCCTCACAAAACTTCCAATTTTAAAAGTTTGTGCCCCTGGGGCGCCTGAGTGGCACAGTCGGTTAAGCCTCTGACCCTTGATCTCAGCTCAGGTCATGATCTCAGGGTCGTGAGTTCAAGCCCCACGTCGGGTTCCAGGCTGGGCCTGGAGCCTGCTTAAAAAAAAGTATAAAAGTTTGTGCCCCGGAGAAACTCACGCAGCTCACCATTTCTCTCCCGGAACTGAGCTTTGCTGTATTTTGACCTGAACCTTTTCTAAGTCAATCCCCTCTCCCCCGGCCAGCGTGCCCTGGCCCCTCGCCCTCCGCTCACTGTCGGCACTGGGACCTGTTCGGCAGGACCCCGTTCTGAGCGTCTCCAGAGCAAGTGCGCGTTTCACGGACTTCGGCTCTACTGTTGTTCTGAAGCTCTCGCACTAGTTCGTATCTGGTTTATCTGGTTGAGTTTTATAGAACGTATGTGCCTCTTGACCAGCATGACTGGCAGCTTTGCAGCAGTCTCGCGGTGTCTTCCCTAGAGTAGATAATGAAATAAAAAACCCTTGTTTATTTAATTGAAAGACCCAGCCTCTCGGCACATGGCCCCGCTGCCAGCCGGGTTTCCCCGTGTTCCTGGGTCTTCGTTTAGCTTGAGGTGCGGAGTGGGATTTAGGAATAAATAGCCTGTTTCCACAGAATGACAACGCGTTCTGCTTGTACGGGATTCTTAGCGGGCTCTTGTCATAACTTAACTTGGTGGTGGCCTCTCGCTGTCGTCCACAGATAACCAGCTGCATGTTAGAAAGGCCAGGAAGTTTCTCACTGTCAGCTTTTCACAGAAGGACAACAGACATTTCGTTCAGAAACTAAGTGGTATGTAGGAAGTCTCAGCTATCCTGCCATGGTGACCGCAGGTCGCGCCTCCTGCCTGGAAACCATTATTAAGAGGAAACAAGATATTTTCAAGATCGTTCCTTCAGAGCCATTGTCTGTCCCTCATGTTTTATCAAGGTTATTGAGATAATAAAAATACTTTGTCTCTAAATCAATTCAAAATATTAAATCCATTATGTTCTGCTTTTAACACTTTGTAGGTACTGCTTCTTTTAATATATTTTGTGTGCCATAATTTTTAAAGCCGACTTGATATTGAAACAAATTGAGGCTCAGAAGGTTCTGACTTAGGTGAAGTTTTCTCCCAGCGTCGGAGCAGAGCCAAGAGGGAAGCGGCCCAGCAGTCCCGTGCTGTCTTTCCAGGGCCATGCGAGGCCGAGTTGGCCAGTTTCCCTACTTGGGCTCAGTGACCTGGTCATTCACATTTCTCTGCAGGCACACACGGTATCCCTGGGCCTCAGCTACTCTGCTTCCCGAGGGTTGTTTGAAGCCGAAAGTTGTCTCTACCCTCAACTGTAGAAAGCCTCATCTCCATTTTCGGTGGTGTCCCTTTTCATTTGTGGGGAGTCGTGATTAAAGTTTTGTTGTTTTAGAAGATGAAGGTGAATACTAGCTTGGGGCAGTCAGCCTTAGGATGGTTATAATACTTGAAGAGCCAAGGGCTTACAAACTCTAATAATAGCAGCTATTATTGGGTCATTTTAGACCAATAGGCTATAGATGTGAAGACTAAGTGATCACTGTTATATTTCGTCATAGTCCCAGTGTAGCCTAATTGGAGACCTCTGCAGGGGCAAGTGGCATGGTTTACAAAAGGAGAGTGTCTTCAAGATTTGTCTACTTTGTCCCAGTTGGAACAGTAGCCTTTAAGCGTCACCGCTGAACAAGTAAGCAGTGCCATCTAGTGGGCGGTGAGAAACTTCTGGTTCATGTTGGTCAAAGGGAGTGTGGGCAGCAGAGGTGAAAAATCCTCAGTTGGTCACGAGTAAATGCCTCATATTTAAATACTCCTCTAGTATTTAGTAAATATTCTCATATTCAAGAGTCATTTGTAGATATGTATAGACAGAAAGAAAAATCCTCAAATCTGTGTAATCTGAACACAGGCACCGGATATTTAACACAGGCCATCTTTTCTGCCCCTAAAACTATAAAGTAGCTAGTGTAGCCTTCACGGGAGAAGTAAGGGCGATCAGAGGATGGGGAAATGGCTTTCTTGGTAGAGAACAGCATGAACAAAAGTATGGAGTCAGAAATGGGAAAGAGGAACTTAAGTTTGGTCAGAATCCTATCATGGCAAGACACATGAGGAAATTTGGTGGAGGCTCATGTGGATTGTCCTTTCATTTCCTAAAAGTGAGGGGGTCAGGATCAGGTCCTGGTCTTGAGGAGTGCCCCCAAACCCTTTAGTTTTAGGGTTAAAACTAAACTACGGAGGCAGCAAGAAATTGAGCGGGATATGGGTCATAGACCCCTTTTCATTTTTAGGTAGTTTTCATTTATTTAAATACCCAACACTTTGGTTTTTGTTTTGTTTTGTTTTTTAAGATTTTATTTTGTCAGAGAAAGAGGGAACACAAGCAGGGGGAGTGGGAGAGGGAGAAGCAGGCTTCCCGCTGAGCAGGGAGCCCAATGGGGAGCTCAATCCCAGGATCTTGGATCATGACCTGAGCCGAAGGCAGATGCTTAACGACTGAGCCACCGAGGCGCCCCTAAATACCTAACACTTTGGGTAATGTTAAGTTCTAGAAAGACCTTTGTTCCATACTTTAAAGTTGATTGAGATTTCTGGGGAAGATGGTGGGGTAGGAGGACCCTAAGCACACCTTGTCCGGCAGGTACAGCTAGGTAACACAGCAGTGTAAATAACCCAGAAAATGACCCAAAGTCTAGCAGAACAGACTTCACAGCTAAAGGCAGAGAAGAGGGTAGGAAGGGTGGCGATGTGGTCGAGAGCTAAAGGGACCTGTGGGACTGTCCATGGGAGGGAGGGAACTGTGGGTGCCAAAGAGGAGAGAAACACCCTCACAACAAGCACCCCAGGCACTGGAACCCGCACAGGGAAGACAAATCCCCAAAATGTTTGGTTCTTAAAATCTGCAGGGCTTAAACCCGTAACTTTGACAATCAGTGGGCTCAGCTCTGGGAGAGCCAGGAGGGGAGAGGAAACAGAGTCCCCACCCTTAGAGAGCACTACAAACAACCCTGCAGAGACACAGCACAGAAGCAGCAATTTGAAAACCTCTGGGGCACATGGGAGGCAGATTTGTTCACTAATCTGAGAGTGCATGATGGAGGCGCAGGGATCATTGAGACTCCTCTGGAAACCAAGGAGCTGGTGGGCGCCATCCCCTCCCCCCACCCCCCTCGCCTCCAGCCCAGACACCTGCAGGAACCAGCGCTGTGCCAACACTCACTACCTAATTGCTAACAGTACGCCCCGCCCCCATATGCCCCTTGGGACACGCCCCCTCCAGCCAGGCCTCCACTCCAGGTCCCCTCCCAAAGCACACCTGTGCAAAGCTGGCTAACACCGTTCACCCGGCCCCTGCATTCTCCTGCGGACCTTACCCCTCCAATATGCCCTCGGCCGGAGCCTATTCATAGAGGAGCCACAAGCCTGGCATGGGGCAAGCAGTCCCAACAGGGACTAGGACCCTCCAAAGTGACTCCTGCCCTGGGCAGAGGGTAAGATAACCACACACACTAGTCGGGCTGGGGGCAAACCACTGGTCTGACTGCAGGCCCCCCACCAATGAAAGTTTTTCAGGGGACAACACAGGAAAAGCAGCCCACAGTTTGGTGCTACTGCATCTCTGGCAAATGTCTGGTCTGACTCAACTCAATACTATCAGATAAAATAGACTTTAGGGGCACCTGGGTGGCTCAGTTGGTTAAGTATCTGCCTTCGGCTCGGGTCGTGATCCCGGGGTCCTGGGATAGAGCCCCGCATCGGGCTCCCTGCTCAGCGGGGAGCCTGCTTGTCCCTCTCCCTCTGCCCCTTCCCCCCTGCTTGCACTCCCTCTCTGAAATAAATACAATCTTAAAAAAATATATTTATAAAATAGACTTTAAAACAAAGACTATAGCAATCATAAATGTAACAACCCAACAAGATGATATAACAATTATAAATATTTATGCACCCAACATGGGGGGACAGCCAAATACACAAAGCAGCTAATAATAAACATAAAGGAAGTAATTGACAGTAATACAATAATAGTAGGGAACTTTAACATCCCACTTACATCAAGGAACAGATCATTCAAACAAAATCAAGAAGGAAAGACTGGCTTTGCATGACACATTGGACCAGACAGATCCAACAGATATATTCAGAACATCCTAAAACAGCAGAATACACATTCTTTTCAAGTGCACATGGAACACTCTCCAGAATCAATCACATATTAGACCAAAAAACAA